AAGAATCGGCGCGGGCAATTTGGCCCCGCGTTGAACAACCTACCGGCTGGAACACGACTGAAGGCTGGGACGCGGTGGATGTACGCTGGGTCACGGAGAGCATCGCCTTGGGAGAAGCTGCTGCAGCTGAAACAGGATGTGGAAACGTCGCCGAAGGACCTGCAGAAGAAGCAGAAGCAGCAGAGGAACCAGAAGTCACTGAGGAGGCACCGGAAGCAGAAGAAGAAGAATCATTAACGGAATACGGACATCACCTCATCCCCATCACAAGACAGTAGGGATTACCTCCGCATCAAGACAAGGGGAGCGGCGATCAGCGACACTGACTTCAAAGAAGGAGAAGTCACGCAGCCGCAAGATTGTCGTCAACGAGTAACACCGACTCCTCTTAAAAGACCGCTGGAGCTTCCCGTAACGATCGACACCTCCACCATCGGCGACACCAGCAGAGCGTATCACGGTGCAACGCTCCAGGCAGCAGCAGTCCACGTCGCCGTACCCGACGAACCTGCGGATCAAGTGGGAATGGAGGCCGCAGACAGAATCTTAGCACGAGAGAAAGAGCTTTACGCGCGCACGAGAAAATATCGCGCCGACCCCGACATCTGGCACCAACTATTCGGGCACCCATCAATTGAAGTGCTCAACAACTACATCAACGCAAACGTCTTTGCGACAGACGCACTGTTGCTGCCAGATGGAAAGTTACTCAAACCACGAACTGACTTACCCAACTGCACTGTCTGCCCGACAGTCGCGCTGCGTCACACACCCTTTGCCGAGAAGATGCCTGGAGCCGAACGTTACAAGCCGCTCGAAAAGGTCTACAGCGACTTCCTGGTACTCACGGCAAAAGGAGTTAGAGGAGAGCAATGCACGCTCACATTTCATTGACGACGAAACGTGCTTCGTCTGGGCTGTTAACGTAAGCAATCGCTACCTCGCCTACCAGTGCTTCGAAGTATGACTCAGCATGGCGGAGACCCAGAGCGAAGGAAACAACCTGAAGGCGTTTCAAACAGACAGGGCTCTAGAGTATCAGACAGAAGAGTTCAAAACCCTTTGCAGACAGAAGGGGATCCAGAAAATGATCTCTCTTCCCTACGCTCACGAGCAACAGGGATTAACAGAGCGAACCAACAGAAGCCTCACGACAAAAATGCGATCCCTCATGAAGCAGTCAGTTGTGCCAACCAAATATTGGCCCTTCGCGATGGCGCATGCAGTTTGACTGCACAACATGCTTTCTTCACCTCACCCTTCAATCAATGGACCGGCAAAAACCCCGACACCCGCATGCTGCGGGTCTTCGGGTGCATGGTACAGTACCGCCCCCATACTACCCGGACCGGAAAATTTGAAGACCGCACTCGGTGGGGCATTCACCTCGGAATCGAATCCAAATACCACGCCTGGACAATTCTGGACTTCGCCACCCACCAACTCACGCGTTCACGTGACTGCATCTTCTACGAAAGACTGACCCTTCCACTGTACCGACAGCACCGCACTGCAGAAAGCGCACCGGCCAATACAGCACAGCTACGCCAGTGACGAGGATGATGTCGACGTGGCAGGAGAACAGCCAAACGAGGCAACTGGGGGCGAGGCACCCTTCGTACCCGTTACGGAGGAATTCGGCACAGCAACATTTTTCCCAACAGAAACAGATCCACACGAAGCAGTACAGGCACAGCACGGTTACGCAAGTGCAGAAATGCACTCACCCACGGAGGAAGACCCCGTTCGCGATTCTTCTCGCGACACCGTTCGCGACAAGCGACAATGACGACGTGGTCGAAGTTACAAATGCCGCTGAATCCAACCTCACAGGACTACGCATCCTCGGACTCGCCATCACTGTACGGGGTAACCAGCAGCTGGTCGAGCCACTACCGTTCGCCAGGCTCTCAGGGGGCCCGATGCTGAGAAGTGGAGAGCAGCCATGGCCGCAGAATTCGCTGCACTACAACGGCGTGGCACCTGGAAGCTGGTACGGCGACGACACGCAAAGGGGAAAAAGATTCTCACAGGGAAGTTGGTTTTCAGAATCAAAACGCTCGCGGACAGGACTATTGACAAATACAAGGCGAGGTGGGTCGTTCGCGGCTTCGAACAAACCCAATTCGTGGACTACGACAAGGCGTTCGCACCTGTCGGACGTCACACCTCCGTCTGCATCCTCCTCTGCGCCGCAGCCGTGAAACAGCGTCCCTTGCGCAAGATTGACGTGTCGAACGCGTTCCTCTACACGGTCGTCGCCGCAATCATCTACATTGAGCAGCCGCATGCTTTTGAGGAAGACGGCGATGCCATCTGCCTCCTACAGAAGTCCCTGTACGGGATCAAGCAGGGGCCACGCCTATGACAGCAGTACCTCCATACCGTGCTCATCAAGCTCGGCTTCCATCAACTTCCCCACGATCAGGGGATGTACCGTCTTGAGTCCCGCGGCAGCTTCATCCTGCTCGTCGCCTATGTCGACGACTTGCTCTACACTGGGGACAACACAGAGGTGCTCGACCGCTTCGAACACGGCATCAAAGAGAAACTCGAGGTAGCCATCGATCACAATGTCACCCAATCCCTCGACCTCAACGTCACTCAGACCGCTGACACGATCCACCTCTCTGCCGCGAAATACGCCGAGACCCTCGCTAAGAGGTTCGGCATCGCTCCTGTCGGCATCACCACCCCATTTCGCATCCCTCCGCCTAACCGCGAGCCCGACACCACCCCGCTCTCTCCGGCCGACCATCGCCTCTATCAGCAGCAGCTCGGGTGTCTACTCTTCGCCGCCGTCACATGCCGCCCGGACCTGTCCTACTTTGCCAGCTAGCTCGCCCAATATCTGTGCCGACCTGAAGGGGAGAATATGGCGGACCTACGACGCGCCCTACAGTACTTTGTCTCTACGCCCGACATCGGCCTCACCTACAAGGCGAATCTAACAGCTACTCTACAGCTTACTGGCTACGTAGATGCTGATCACGCTGGGGACGCAGAAATAGGAGGTCCCGCACAGGCTTCATTTTCAAGCTTGAACCTGCTAAAACCATCTCCTGAAACTCACAAAAGCGGGAGCTTATCGCCCTTTTGTCAGCAGAAGCAGAATTTATTGCAGCAAGTGCAGCGGTTCGCGAAGGACTCTACCTCTCGGAGCTCCTACAGGGAAACAAAACCGGCTTCATCAACCGCACGAAGCACATCGACCTGCGTTACTTCTTCGTCAAGGACGAAATTGACAAAGGTAAGGTCAAGCTCACCTATTGCCCAACTGGCGAAATGGCAGCTGATTTTCTGACGAAGAGTCTGCCACGTCATAATTTCCAGTACTGCTCGGACCTGTGTGGGGTCATCCGAAAGAGCCACGTGGCGCACCTCCAGGAATGAAGGGGAGTGTTGGAGTATAAAGGGAATTGACTTTAGCATTCCCGTAGGTGTAGCTGTACCGCACCCGTCACTATCGACGCAGCACCAACAGTAGTATCGGATCAGCCCATATCTAGGGCATGAAGGTCAACAATCGCAAAGGTCAACTTTCGCAACTGTTGACCATCTGGACCGACGACTCACCAGCCGAGAACGACAACAGGCGTAACTGTCTATACGGTTACACGCATCGACCCGATAACAAGAAAGAAGAGCAATAGTCAGAGTCACTGTAGAAACTGCCTGCAAAACAGTTAGAATAAGGGAATGTACCCTTTAGAGTACATGGCTAGCTAGATCTATTTATTGTGTGCACTTTATCCTTTTAATCAATCTTGTCATTTACATGCACTATGCACAAGGTTCCTACCACAAGTCTTTCGCTACCCAAACTCTCTAAAGCAATCCTATCCTATCCAAGATCCTCACTCTAGCAAGGAGAACCGATCCTTTATATGAGGTAGGTAGTGCTCTGTTGCCGTAACTCACTGGTAGGAAATGCACAAATAACCTCTTGGTTTATTCAGGCGTCGCGATAGCGTGCTCATGATATGTAGATCCTGAAACTGTTCTGAGATTGTAAAACGGATGACGCTACCGTAAGATTTGTTACGAATAGTAAATTAAGAAGAAGCACAGTGCACTCCTAACAGCAGCAAGCAAAGCACACAGTATCGGAGTTGGAGACGAAGAGTCAGAAATGACTCGAAGCGACGCGAACAGTTGAAGAGCATCTGGACCTTCGGAAGTAGACAACATTGGGAAGCTGCAGGAGCGAGAATATTGGCGGAAACATTTTCGTAACTGTACGCGCCGCACGGTTGGGTTTGAATTTGAATAAGGGAATGTACCCCTTAGAGTACATGGCTAGCTAGGACGTTTGATATTCGCTTTGTACTTATATTTATACGCATGTACCTGCATGTGTTAATCATCTCAATCAGTTTACATTCACTCTGATTTGAGGTCAAGGGCCCACCACTACCATACACTCTATGCGAACCTTCCCGAGGTAACCCTGGTTACGATCAACTTCTGATCGCAGCAAGGTTGACATTATTAACGTCAACGTCCCTGACATGAAACCATGGCGGTGAGGAAGTTTGTGTGGAAACATATTCCCTATACCGAGATCAACATAATATTGTGCAGGTAACTTTCTGTAAATCCGGAGCATTGTATACTGAGAAGTTGCGATCCTGCCTTCTTCGTGTGGCTTCTCATTTCAGCGGAACCTGTTTTTGTTCAAACATGTCCGTCGAATACTCGCGCGAGAGTTCTTCCCCCTAGTACAGAAACTCTGGAAGCCAGAGCACGCTCACACAATATCTGTAAGGCAGAGCACACTCACACATCTGGAAGCCAGAGCTCACTCACACATCTGGAAGCCAGCACACGTAATCCTCTGAAAGCCATCACCCTAACACAATATGGCGGAACCTTTTGTCCGAGCGGAAGTTCCTGCCACCAGTAACGCCTTGCGACATGCGGACTGCCAGGTCGAATATATATTCCATTTTCTGTCCCTCTTTAAGTTCCGTGATTTTTTATATGTGCATGTACACCAGGTTGTTTGCCCGACGGAATGGTTGTCGTTGCTGCACAGCAATCAAAGTAACAAAAGCATCTGCGTTTGTTGGAGAACTTCAAGTGCTCAACAGCTACGTTCAGGAAATCTGTTGAGAGTTGCTAGCTGGAGCGTCGATATAGACGAGAAATGGTAAGTCGAATTGACTGCGCACTAAATGTCGTTATTTTAATAACACGTTTTTCTGTGTTAAGGATTCTATCCGTAACTGGGGGGATTACCGACTCCTGTCCACTCGTGTTCGAGGTTCTGAGGGAGGCACCTTGCTCAGCCACTTTCCACATATTGCTGACCATTATTTCCAGCATCGAGGAGCGATCTGTCTCTATAGGTGTCGTTTCGCAACACTTTGCTATCTGTTTTCGTTGTGATTTTAGAAACTTACGTCGGCAATCTGGTATAGCAGACGCAAAGTGGAACTTCGAACGTGGCTCTTGGTCAACTGGAAACTCTTTCCGAATGGGCGACGTTATTTCTTCTGCTGCAGGTTTTGTGAAGGACGGAGTGCTCAGAGGGGAGCTTATGCTGCTGCCAGGTATATGCTTCATATTTGCTTCATTCATAACCCGAGAAGTCTGACCACTCTATTAGACTCTGAGCAGCATGAAGCATTAAAAGCGTTTCCGGCAGCTTTTTCAGACTTCCCACTCAAGTCTTGTGGGTTGTCTACTAAAAGCATTATGTCAAGAACTACAGTGATAAGCAACCACCCCAGGATTATTGTATTTGATTGCTTGCTTTCTAAAAAGGAATGCGAGCACCTGATTATGCTAGCAGCACCTCACATGCGCAGATCACTTGTCAGCGGAAGAGCAGTCAGTGAGGTAAGCTTTCCATTATTGTCACCTCGCTATTCTCTGCTGTTAACTTGGCATATCCAATGCAGAATAGGACTAGCTGGAGTATGTTTTGCACAAACGGCTTGGAATTAGATCCTGTGGTTCAGTGTGTTGAGCGGAGGTGCATCTTCTACATGAAGCTTTTAGGCATACATGTTGTCCCAGACAACGAAAAACTTCAGGTGAGCTGTTGCGTCTTTGCCTGTTGGTCGTTTTTTGAATCAGCAAAACAACTGTCTCGTTCCCTTCAGATAATACGATACAAAGCTGGTGAAGAATTCAAAGCTCATTTTGACAATGGTAGGTCTCTCTTCTCCCCTTTTTTATGTCAACGCATGCTAACTTTTACTTGTCAGATGTGGGAAATTGCAGCAAGCGTGCAGCCACGATGCTGATGTAAGTTGTTATTTCTAGCTCTCTCTCTGATCTTGTTCATTTTTATGTTCATTGGTTGACACAAAGAATACCAGGTACTTATCAGATGTGGAGAGCGGCGGAGAAACCTATTTTCCGAAAGGATTATTGATGCACAAAAGCGGTGGTTATGATGGTATATGCGGAAGTAGTTCCGGCATTTCTATAGCTCCGAAGAAGGTTAGCTTTTGCATTTCCCCCCCCACTGTATCCCAGCCTCCCAATTGGTATTCACATATTTTCGCATTTTCAGGGAAGGGCTTTGGTATTTTTCAGCCGCCGACATGATGGATCTGAAGATCCTTGTAGTCTTCATGGTGAGTTGTTTATGAGACAGTGCCTTCTGCTGTTTATCGTCTCCTGTCATTTTAGCAAACCATTCACAATTTGAATGTTTCAGCTGGAGCTAAGGTTCGGACTGGAATAAAATGGGTGGCATCTAAATGGATATCAATAAGCTAAATGGAGTGTTTTCGGCGTATTGTTTGCTTTGTTGTGAGGTCATAACTGGATGTTGATATTGAATTGAACTGGTGGGGTGGGGCATTATATTCTGCATGAGATTTCTTTGGTGGGATAATCAGTTTTAACATTTATCACATTGCTAAAACAGATCGCACACGAATGTAGATCGACTAACCACCAAGTCAGCGAGATGACGTCATCATGTGCTTCAAACAGGGGAGGTCTCAATTTGAGACGGTATATTCAACCCAACTGAACCCATCGACAGGATATGTTTTGGGTTGTTTGTAACACCTATGGGTTGTATGCTGAGGTTGAGGTCACACGTGGTTCGCTGACAGTTCAGGCTGATAAATAGCGGTTTAAAACGGTGAAGGGAACAAACCGCTATTGAGTGCACAAGATTGTTGTCAACCGCTTCTGTTGAACCAATGCCTGTCCCTGTTCAGGTAGCTTCCAACCAACCTAACACCAGTCAACCCCGCCAATCGCGCCCCATCTAAGCGTTACCCCCGTCGCAAGAATCACTGCGTATTACACGCCTTGTTCCTGACCACTGACCCCTGCCAGCAGGAACGGGCCTCACTACTGGTTAATTTCCCCGCAGCTCGTCACGTTGAACAGCTGTCGCGATTGAATTGGCCAGCATGAGGCGAATCCCTCCCCGTCCGCCCGTCGTCTGCCACATCGTTACGACGTGAAGGGCACCGAATAGAGCTGGTATTGCAAATACTAACGTTCAGGGCATCGGCAAGCGAAGTCGCATACTAATTCGCGATCACAGATTGTAACCCGTCCCGTGTTCGTTCACGATGGAGACCAGACAGGGAAAGGGTCGCGGGGACGGCTTGTGGTGGGGGTTCCGGCGCGTCGGTATGCGCGACCTGCGCGTGCTGCTGATCGCCATGGCGACCGCCATCCTCCTCATCGCCACGTTCTCGCGACCTCACGCCAGGTGAGTCGGGTCAGCGGTGAGCCAGGTCAGCGGTGAGTCGGGTCAGCGGTGAGCCAGGTTAGCGGTGAGCTGGGTCGACGGTGCGCCCTATCCTTCCCCCTCCCCCTTCCCCACCCACACACACCCAACACCTCGTCCCTCCCGCCAATTCCCCCTCCCTTCTTTCCGCTCGCCCTCGCGCTCTCCTCCCCGCCAGTTGGGACGAGCGCGACCTGCAAGAAGAGGCAGGGGGCCTGCCGACGGACATAGACCAGGACGCCGTGGCCGCCATGGACGAGTGGGACGCCATCGACCGCCTCCCCTGGCGCCGCCTCCCGCCGCCGCCGCCCTCGCTCTCGCTGCATGGCGCCGTGCCCGGGAGTAACGTCACACAGGGGGGAGATGGGGCAGGCGCGGGGGAGGAAGGCGGGGAGGGAATGGACGGGGAGGAGGAGGGAGCGGGGGGGAAGGGGAAGAAGAAGAAGAAGAAGAAGAAGAAGCCGAAGCGGCCGCCGCCGCCTGTGAGGAGGATAGTGGAGGTGGCAGAGGCGGACGCGTGTGCTGTGCCGCGGCCCGTGGTGCCGTGCCGCCTGCCCAAGGGGCAGCGCGTGGAGCTGGTGTTCGTTTCCGCCATGTGGGAGCGCGAGGCGCAGACCAAGGTGGGGGAGAGAGGGGGGGATGAGTGGGGGGTTAGGGGTCGGGATGGCGGGCGAGGCACGAATTAAGGTGCGCTAGGGGGGGGGGGGGGAGGTTGAGAGGTGGACGGGGAAGGGAGATGGGATGGGATGGGAGGGACAAGGGGATGAGAGAGGGGGAGAGGTGAGAGGGCGAGGGGGGTGGGAGGGAAGTAGAGGGGAGGCGAGGAGGATGTGAGATGGCAGGGGGTGAGAGGGGGAGGGGCAGGTGGGAGTGGGAGGACGGTAAGAGGGGGGAGGTGGGTAAGTTGAGGAGGTGGGTGAGATGAGAAGGGTGAGAAGAGCATGAGGGTGAGAGGAGCGAGAGAGAAGGGGAGGAGGTTGAGAGGACAGGGAATGGGTGGGAGGGTGAGGAAGATCAGGAGAGGGAGAGAGAATGTTAGCCTAGCCTCCCTCCCAGGCCTGTCCCGCCCAGCCCTGTCTTATGGGTATATAAGGACACTGGGTGCCCTTTTATTCTCATTATTCAGTTTGGGTCTCCAACTTTCGGTGGGAGGGGGAGTGAGGGGGAGGCGAAGGGAGATCAGCAGAGGGAGGTGAAAGGGAAACGGGGACAAAAGGAGGAGGAGGAGGAGGGTGAGAGGGTAAGAGGTGTAGGGGATTGAGAGCAGAGGAAAAGGAGAATGTGAGGGAGATGGGAGAGGCTGTATGTGAGATGGGGAAAGAAGTGAGAGATGGGAGGAGGAAGAGGGTGAGAGGGGAGGCATGAGAAGAGAGGTAGGTGGGAGGGCGGAGGTGCCAATGGGAATTGAGGGGTAAGAAAGGAGGGGGGTGAGAGGTAGAGGGTGGTAAGAGGCGGAGAAAGTGGATTGAAGGGGCGGGTATTAGATTGAGAGTGGTAGGGGAGGGAGGTGGGGCGAGTGAAAGTTAGAGGGCCCAGGGCAGGAGTTGAATGGTAGGAGGGCAAAACTCGAAAGGAGGGGATGGGAGAGGAGGGAATGCGTGTGAAAGAGCAAATGATGGATGACGAAGGTGGGATGGGGTTCTGAGTCTTTGTGTAATGACTATGTGCACATGGGGACATGTGTGTGTGGGAGGGGGTTGGTTGGAAGGGTGCATGTGGGCATGTAATGACTATGTGGGCATGTAATGACTATGTGGGCATGTAATGACTATGTCGGCATGTGGGCATGTGAGGGGGGAGCAGGGCCCAAGCCGATGGGAGAGGTCTTACAGCATTGCAGCATATGGGATAGGCAGGAGGGGGCGATCTGGTGCATGAATGATGCGCCAGTATGATTGCACGGTCTGTATGATTGTATAAAACTGGATTGCCTTCACCGTACATGAGTGCTGCAACAGCCTTGTGTGTGCCTACTTTCAAGCCTTCATGCTCCCCACAGCTCGTTCCCTTTCCCACCGTCCCTCCTTCAATTTCTCCTCTTTTCACCACCATAGCTCCCCTCCCCTCCCCTCCCCCTCCCATCCCCTCCCCTCCCCTCCCCTCCCCTCCCCTCCCCTCCCCTCCCCTCCCCTCCACTCCCCTCCCCTCCCCTCCACTCCCCTCCCCTCACCTCACCTCACCTCTCCATCGCCTCTTTCCGTTCCAGGACGAGACAGAGACGATGCTAAAGTCATTGCTGTACGGCACGCGCTGCCCGCTGCACATCCACTTCATTATCGCGGGCGAACCCGAGCAATCCGCGCTGCGCTCCCTCATGGTCACCCTGCGCGCCACCGAGCTCATCCCCAACCCCTCGCCCTACATCTACCCCACGCGCAAGGGCGCCAGAATCGGCCACCCCACTGCGAGAGACCTGGCAGCGTGCGGGTACAGCAACGGGGTGGCGAGCAGGCAGAGAGCGGCGGTGCTGTTCAGCATGCACTACCTGCCCACGGAGTATGTGGTGGAAAGAGCCAAGGCGCTGCACCTGTGGCCGCTCGCCCACCATGCAGGCGTGCCCGGCATGAGCAAGTTCTTCATGGCTGAGATCCTCTGGCAGGTGGGTCGGGTTGTTGGGGGGTGCGTGGGTGCGTCGGGGTTGTGGCTGGATGTGGCTGGGGTGCCTAAGGGGTGGTGGATGTGGTGAGTAGTAGTGCATGGGTGTGTTTCCCCCGTACACAACGGTTGTGGTGGAGATGCCTCCCTTCCCCATCCACCCCCCCGGCCCCCGTGCCCGGCATGAGCAAGTTCTTCATGGCTGAGATTCTCTGGCAGGTGGGTGGGGTTGTTGGGGGGTGGGTGGGTGCATTTGGGTGCGGCCGGTGTGGCTGGGTGCAGCTGGGGTTTAAGGGTGCGTAAGGTGTGGCGGATGTGCTGAGGAGTGGTAGTGTGTGTGAGGGTGTGGGGAATGAGTACCTTTATCAGGGCGCAATGCTGTGGTAGGTGGGTGGTGGTGAGCAGTAGGGACTGTGATTGATTTGTGCGCTTTTGAGGTGGCTGAAGAGTCACGTGGACGGATGGAGGGAGGGCGAGGTGAATGTCAGGTGGCCAAATCTCCGTCGCTCCCTCTACACCCCCCTTTTCCCTCTCACCTACCCCCGTGTTCCAGTACAGCACGCAATGTAACTGCACGCGTGAACATAAAATCACTAGACTTGCGACATCCAGTGCCTGAGATTGCCCGGGGGCTGAAAATCAGCATGACAGCCACCTGCCTGCTCCTCTCCCTCACCACCACCACACCGCACCCCCACCCCCAAACAGTTAACCAGATTCCCCTCCTCTCCACCCCTCTCTTCCTCCCTCCCCTGCACGTACAACCCGCCATCTACATGGGCGTGGACGGGATAGCTGCGTGCTTCTATCAATCCAGGTTGAGCCGTCTGCTCGTATTCCTCACCAACTCCCCTTACCCTCTCTCCCTACCTGCACGTGGACGTGTAGTGGCAAGGGGTGAGTGAGGGGCATCCAAGGCATGTGCCTCAATCCAAATCGACAGCGTGGGCTCTTCTTCCGCACCAGCAACCACAACCCCAACCTCCAACCACCGATCAGATTCCCCTCCTTCCTCTCTCCCCTGTCCCCCTCTCACCCGCTAACTTTCCCAACACCTGCAGGTGCAGCGAGCCATCTACCTGGACGTGGACATGATAGTGGGCGGGGACAGACATCCAGGACCTGTGCGACTTGTGCATGCTTCAACTGAGCCTTCTCATGCAACCCCCTCTCTCCCTGCCCAAACCGTCGTCCCCTTCCCCCCCCCCCACCCCCCCCCACCAGGTGCAGCGAGCCATCTACCTGGACGTGGACATGATAGTGGGCGGGGACATCCAGGACCTGTGGGACTTCTTCCTGTCCATGGCGCACGACCCCGACCTGCTCTACTTCATCAGCAACAACCACCCCGAGGGCGCCAACGCGCGCCGCCTGCTGCGCCCCTACTGCTCCTGCCAGATGGTGCTGGACCTGCAGAGGATGCGCGAGGCCAACCTCACCCAGGTGGGGTTGTCTAGGGGGGAAGGGGTTCCGCCAGGGTGCTTGGGGTTGCGGAACAGGGGAGGGGAGGAAGGGGGATGGGAGGGGTAAGGGGGGTTACATCCTGGACTGTGCTGCGCCCCTACTGCTCCTGCCAGATGGTGCTGGACCTGCAGAGGATGCGCGAGGCCAACCTCACCCAGGTGGGGCTCCTGGAGGGTAGGAACTCAGCGAGGGTGGATGGGGTTTCGAAGCAGTGGAGGCAAGGAAAGGATTGATGGATGGTGTAGGGAGGATGTATGTGACTGGTGCTGGAGTTTGGACTCTGGCACAATATCTCGAGGGAAGTTGGTGGCGAGTTACCATGCACTTGCAGATTGCCAAGTAGGTCTATACTTGGCATTGCCATTGTCCTGATTTCACCACTCTCCCTCCAAACTCATATCTCTCTCTCCTGCACTGCCCTACTCCTCCCACTCCCCCTTTCCCCCTCTCCCCACCACTCCCCGTTTCCCCTCTGTATGCATATCATCCCTGCGTTTCTCTCCGCCGCACCTCTCTCCCCGTGCATGTGCACTACCACGCACAGCTGTTCGTGGACACACTGGGCCCGCACAAGCCCAAGGAGCTAGCGGACTACGTGGAGGACGGGGACCAGTTCCTCTTCATGTGGACGTGCAAGCAGATGCCCACGCGTTGCCGCGTGCTGCCGCGCCTCTGGAACGTCTCTGGCTGCACCAAGCCGCTCCCCTTCCTGGGGTTGACGTCGAGAGGAAGGGAGGCGAATGGGAGCTGTTGGCGCATAGTCCATTTCAACTGCATGGGGCACATGCGAGGAGGGCAGGGGAGCTATGTTGTGCCTCCGGAGTGGGAGGAGGCGGCTTCGTGGACCCGGAGTTTGAGATTGGAGAAACTGAGGCGGCCACCAGTAGTGTGATGAATCGAATATTGAACTCCTCTTAGAGCGTGTTCCTATCCTCGTATCAAGATAACCTCGTATCAGGCTCACACTGGAAATTCCCCTAAACCCAAAACCTCTCGCTAGTTTTACCAGGCAAAAACAGCATTCTTGATACGAGGTTTCCTGATATGAGGCCGTAGGAACACGCTCTTAAGGCGTGACAGGTCCCTATACCGTAAGTCTGTTTTTTTGGGTTGCGAAGCAACCTATTACGATCGTTATGTACAATTTTTTTTTTCATCCTCTTTACTCAATAAAGGATGAAAAAAATCTAGTGAACGGTAGCTAAGTGAAGTGACTGACTACTATGTATTTGCCAAGTCAATTTACCACGTGCCGAACCACATTCCTTCTCATTTCCTAGTTTGCTTTGACTGAACCTAGATTTCATGAGTTGCCAAAATGATGTACTGTGAATGTGTAACTGTTTATTCCGTGATGCATATGCCGGATGATGTTATGCGTAGATGAAGTAAATGCAAAATGCATAATTACAATGCATGTGCTACTGTGGTAGCATGAATCAGGGCCTTAGATTGGTTTTGAGCTAGGCTGAACCAATCAGAGTTGGTACAAAAAATTATGCTAAAAATCAGAAAAAATCTGCCATTATATGCCAGTTTACACTACAAATCACATAATTTTTCATGTTTTTTCACAGAAAAATGCTGAATAATCAGCCACAGTTCTAAAAAAGGTCTGAAATCTCAGCCTTTTTTACCCAAATCAGCCTTTTTTCGCTGACTTCTGAGGCCCTGGCATGAATGCATATGGTAGCATGATGGAAATGCGTAACAGTTAATTGACCCAGACTCTATGCTACCGCATCCCCTGCCTAGCATGGGGGGGAGCTCAATAGCATAGTTCCTGAATCATCCAACTGCCGCATGAAACAACACAATCTGTGTGCTCTAAAAAAAGGGTCAATTCTATCAAATCCAGTTCAAATGGACACACTCACTGAGTGCGCAAAGAACCGTCTCGGAAATGATAGTTTGATCCCAATTTTTAAAACCCACAGACATGTGTTATTAATGCAATGGAAACATGAATGAAAGCACATACGGTACGCACACAACACAACGCATACACATGATCATACACCTTCAGACATACGCGCACGCACGAAGCCGAACTGACAAAGCATATTAACCGCAAATGAAATAAAAACCTAAATCACAAAGACATCATGTATCCTATTGTGAATCAAGAAAACAGGAATGAGAATGACTAAGTGAAAGTTGGGTACAAAAGGCAAACCCTAGGCAACTGTACCCCATATGTGCTACCCCACTATAGCCTACAGTAGCTATGTCATATAACTCTGACACACCCCCATAGGCAAAGTGGGGGAGAACAAGGGGTCACAAGACCAGTCAAGCAAAGCAAAGCAAGCTCAGGGTGGATCACAAAGTCACCACACATTCCGAGCACAAGTTCAAGGCCACAAGGCCAGTTCACATGCAGGATTACATATATATATAAGGCTAGACAAGCAAGAGCAGGAGTATATATATATGCAACAGTACAAACAAGGTCAAGAGGTGAGCAAGTGAGGCAAGGTAGGTACAAGACCCAGCTGAGTACAGAAGCGCTGATGATCACAAGGCGCAAGTGCCTTGGTGAAGATATCAGCAGTGTTGGCCTCAGAGGCCACGTACGCAAGTCGCAGCTGACCACGCTGCTGTAGCTCACGAGCAAGGAAGTAGCGAAGAGCAATGTGCTTCGTTCTGTGCTCCAGTCTCTGCTCTCGACACAAGGCCAGCATGGCCTTGTTGTCTACGTAGAGCACTGGAGGAGAACGAGGCGGCTCTCCGAGGTCAGTCAGCAGGTAGGTGAGCCAGCGAAGCTCCTGTGCAGCCATGGCCCCGGCGTAGATCTCAGCCTCACAACTGGAGCCGAGAACAGAAGACGAGCGAGTAGCCCGCCACGAAACAGAGCCGGAACCAAGGCTGAAGGTGTAACCCTGTGACGACCGCTGCGTAGCCTGGTCGTCAGCCCAAGAAGCGTCTGCGTGTCCAGTGAGGACCACTGGACTCTGCCCTCCAAGCACAAGCCCCATGCCCGACGTACTGCACAAGTAGCGCAACACCCTCTTCGCTGCAGCCATGTGCTCCGGTCTGTGTCTCCCAGGAGCAACATTGCGTGCAAGAATGCTAAGAGAGTATGCAAGGTCAGGTCGTGTGCAGGTCATCAGGTACATGAGGCAGCCAACAAGCTCTGGGTACGGGCCACTCGACTCTACGGACTCATCCGAAGGCAGAGCTGAGAGCGAGTGGCGAGTAGGCAGAGGAGTGGCCTGAGGCGAGGAGTACGTGAAGCCGAAGCGCTGAAGGACCTGCTGCACCATGTGTGACTGAGTCAGGGTAATGGTGCGGCGTGCTCTGTCCCGGGTGATCTGCAAGCCAAGGTAGCTGCGCAGTTCACCCAGGTCTGTGCACGTGTGTCTCTTCTGCAGCTCGGACTTCACGTGGGCGAGTCCAGCAGTGTCAGCTGTGGCAAAGACCAAGTCGTCGACGTACACGAGGATGTAGAACGGCTGCAAAGAAGTGTCGGTGCGCAGAAACAGCGACGGGTCGGCAGTAGAGGGAGCAAACCCAAGAGCCGCAAGTGTAGTCCTCAGTGTGTCGTGCCACTCACGCGGTGCCTGGCGGAGACCGTAGACTGGCCGCTGGAGGCTCCACTGGGTGCCAGGAGGAAAAGACCCAGTGAAGCCAGGTGGGCGACGCAGCCAGATCTCCTCGTGCAGGCTGCCCTGCAAGAAAGCAGTGCTGAAGTCAAGAGAGTGCAGCTCGTAGTCGCGGTGAGCAGCTATGTGCAGCAGTACCCGAAGAGTGGTCATCTTCGGGGTGGGAGAGAAGGTCTGAAAGTAGTCAACTCCCTGCCGCTGACTGAAGCCACGAGCCACGTAACGCGCCTTGAAGACAGGCGGAGAACCCGGCGGCCGCTTCACCCTGAAAATCCACATGCCACTGACGATGTTCGCCCCAGGCGGGGGAACCTCGTCAACGTAGGTGCCTGTGGACTTCCAGGAAGCCATCTCTGCGTCCATAGCTGCCTGCCACTGAGAGGAGTAGGGACCCTCTATCGCCTCCGCGTAAGAGCGCGGAGTCGGGATGTCAAGTGCATCCGGGTCTCCCTCAGGGGTAAGCAGTACGGACACGAGATGAGGTGAAGCAGCAGCCAAACACTGGAACTCCTCCTGCCTGTCCTCAAGGACGTCCGTGCCAAGGGCACACTCACCCCCGACGGACGGAGGACAGACAGACTCAGACTCAGCAACAAGACTAGCAGCGTAGTCTAGACGACAGCGAGCAGCAAAGTCGACGAGCTCAGTAACTAGGGCAGACGCAGCAGTGGACTCAAAGGAAGGGTCAGTGACAACAGTAGCAAGGAGACGCGTGACAGTAGGACTGGCAGCACGAAGAGAGTCCGACTCCGGGTCAGGAAGAGCAGGAAGAGAGGACTCAGGAGGAGAAGGCAAAGGGGCACGCAGAGGAGCAGTGGACGGACGCAGAGACATCCGGTGCGTGCCAGGGACAGGAGGAGGACGCTGACGCGAACCACGAGCACTAGTGCGAGCAGCACGGACAGGCGACGCAGGGCGAGACGCAGGCTCACGACGCTCAGCAAGACCTCCAGTAGGACCAGTGTAGGGAGAAGGAGCGGGCAGTGGGGAGGCCGGCTGTAACTGTAACTGTGACGGGACAGGCTGTGGACACTCTAAGGGAGGAGGAGGACCAGTAGAAGGCGGGAGACCAAGAAATTGCTGAAGGAGCGGAACGAAGTACGGCCTAGGCCGTGTAGCGACTCCAGACACAGCAGGGACAGCACCAGTACCCCCAGCGGCAGCACCAGCGCCAGCAGTACCTCCAGCTCCAGCACCCCCAGCAGGACCGCCTCCAGGACCGACAGCAGTAGCCTCAGCGCCAACACCCTCAGCAGCTCCAGCTCCAGTCGTACCCGCAGGCCCAGCAGCTCCAGTACACCCAGTACGAGCACCTCCGGGACCCGCGGCACCAGCACCCTCAGCAGCCGAAGAACCTCCAGCTCCAGCAGCACGCCTCCAGCGCCGGGCAAACCACTCGCGCAGCTCCTGTGGAGAGAGTGGCTCGCGCCGAGACGAAGCACCCGGAGAACCTCCAGGCTCAGCACCGCCAGACGCCACACGATCAGGCCCAGCTCCCTCAGGCTCCGCACCCCCAGGCTCAGCACCTCCAGGCGTAGCACCCCCAGGCGTAGCACTCCCAGGCCCAGCACCCCCAGGCTCAGCACCCCCAGTAGTAGCACCCCCAGGCTCAGCACCCTCAGGCTCAGCACCCCCAGTAGTAGCACCCTCAGGCTCAGCACCCCCAGACGTAGCACCCACACGCTCAGCACCCCCAGAGTCAGCACCCCCAGGCTCAGCACCCTCAGCAGCACCAGAGTCACCAGTAACCTCGACAGGCTCGACTGCGTCTACCTGGGACACACCTGAAGGGGCAGGACCCTGAGGGGGGAGGGGGTCTACCGGGGGGGGGCCTGGGACAAGGAAGAGCGGTGGCGGGGGGAGGGACGGAGTGCGGTAGGGGAAGAGGCGGTAGTAGGGGACCGACTCGTCAAACGTGACGTCCTGGGAGGACAGGACACGGCGAGAGGTGGGGTGGTAGAACTGCCACCCTGGCGCGTCAGGGGGGAAGCCAAGGAATACGCAAGGAGCAGCACGAGGGGACAGCTTGTCCGCAGACAAGTCGCGGACAAACGCCCGAGATCCCCAGACACGGAACGCAGACGCATCGCCAACCTTCCCCGTCCACAGCAAGGCTGGGGAGGTCTCCGGCATGGAGACCCTGGGGTGAAGGTTGATCTGATGCGCCGCGTACCGAACCGCAAACGGCCACAGAAAATGGGGGGCAGCCGCATGCATCATGGACGTACGGGCGACGTCCATGACCATGCCAATGCGGCGCTCAGCAATCCCATTTTGCTGTGGAGAG